GATTAGCTCTACAATACCCGTAACAAAAGCACAACAGCTGATGCATGTGATGTTAGGAGGTGACAAAACAGTTAAAGTATGCTGCTGGCTACAGGCAAGCAGTCAGCAGATGCAGACAAAAGGGTTTGTGACAAGAATAACTCTCTCTCCAAGGCGAGCAGTCAAGAGTATCCAAAATACCAATACCCTTTTCTCCTTGACATTGTCTTCTTACAGTCAGCATTTTATTGCCCTTTTATAGTAAAAAAAACAAAACACAATTCTCCGGAATATCGGTTTTAACTTGACTTTCACAATTCTGTGCTCTTTACATCTGTATTGCTTTTTCTATCATCTAGATTTACCACTTGAGTTTGAATTACTGAAAGTTTAAAAGATTGACTGTAAAGAAGCCCACCCTTAACAGGATTAGCGACATGAAATACACACATAAACCTTTGAGCAGACCGGTGACTCGTTTTGTCATTTGGTTTTGGTGGGTTTTCCCCTTTTCCATTAAGAAAGAATTAAGCATCTTATTTTGCTAATGAAGAAATAAGGCTTGGGTAGAAATTAAAGGGTTGCTTGACAATGGGAGAGATTTAGGTGCTGGAAAGGGACTGTGAATGAGCTGATGTTTATTTCAGAAGTGTGAAAAATCAGCTTATATATCTCCAGAAAAAAAAAAAAGAAAGAGAGAGAGAGGCTGTCTTCTAACCTTTGTAATTCCCCTTCTATTCTCTGTGACATTCATTCAGCTGCCAAGCATGTTTGGCAAGGCTTGAGCCAGCGAGCGCACTTCCAGTGACCGCTAACCTTGGTATGTCCTGACACTTATGATGAGTATCTGCAGGACACAGAAGGCAGGCAGGCTGCTATGTCAGGCTTTTATTATGTACTGCAGAGGCTGGGGACAGTCAGTTTAATAAAACAAATCATCCTTGAAGGTAAAGCAACTGGGAAGAGAAGGAGGAGGGCTTGGGGAGGGGAGGAGATATGGGGAATGGGAGGGAAGGGAGAAAAAGTCTTTGCTGCACAATCCTCCCTCCCTTTCCCCCCTCCAAAAGAAAAAGAATTAACTAATAAAAGATGCTACACAATAATGAGGAAAACAATGAAGGGCCATTGATTGACTCCCAACTTGAGACACACGGCTACTTCTAGTGTGCCCTCCTTCCCAACAAGGATTTTTCAAGTCCTTGCAGGCCATCAGAAAGGGAAACCTAATCCTTTTTGTCGGCTTAAAATCAGTGTTGCTTCACTGATTTTTGTCAAGCGACACTGACTCAGACCAGCTGAGGATCTGCCCTCACCTTCCCAGTCACTGCTGCCTTTTCAGTCGTGTTTTCCTTGACCAGAAATTCAACAAGTACTTTTAAAGCATATCGCTTTCTGAAGCTGTGTATGCTTCTGCATGAGAGAAGAGCGAGGTCTGACTTGGCTCCAACTTTTGAGCCATTGGAACTGTATACGTTTACTCACATAGAAATATTTAGCGTTGAGTACTTTTAACAAAGCACTCCCCCACAGTGCTAATCCACATGGTTCAGCAGGGGAGTTGCACACGCAAACCCAGGAGTGAAATAGTTCAGGTTTGTTGGTCACGCTAAGGAAAATGCTAGTAGTTAAACTAGCATAAATAGACAAAAGCAGATGAGAGCTTTCATTCCCTCCCTGTTTTCATAGATGAAGGGGATGTGTTGGCATGGCTAGCGCCTGAGAAGGGGCACTGTGATCATTGCTGGACTGTGTTAGGAGGTGCAGGACCAGTGCATACCAGGTGTAAACCAGCATAACTGCACTGGGGCTGACAGAGCCTCGCTGATTTACACTAGCCCAAAGTGTGGCCTGTGACTTTTTCCTTGGCAGCAAAGCTAAGTTCCATTGACAAAGCATGCAGCAAACTGTGATTTCTTTCTAAATCAATCTGATGTGGAGGCTTCAGCCTGAAGCCCACCTCGCCTCCCCCTGAGCAGACCTCATTGTCTTTCCTCCTGGTGAATATACAGTGTGATTCTTTGATTGACTGCTGCCACCTGATGCTAAGAAAATGCCCTGGGTTCATACTAGGGATTGTTGGTTCTATTAAAAGCAACGTAGATGGAGTTTATTTGTCACTGAAGCATTTTCTGCAGATGTTCCTACTTCAGAGATGTTCAGTCAGTTAGGTGTAAAGATGTGCTGAATAGGTCGCCATCACTTAGGGTCAGGGAAATGCCACCCCCAGACACATCATTAACATGGACGACTGATTAATTGCCCACTGAAATTTATAACTCCCCATCTATTTAAATATTTCTTTATTTTCAGACTCTGGACTTCACTAGAATTGATAAAAACCAAAAAGACATTAAAAACCAAACCCCAAACAAACACTGCCGTTACTCTTTCTAGAAAGGAAAAATGTTGGCCGACGTACTATCCAGTGGGGATTAATCACAGTGCTATTCACATTACAACATGCAAAGTAGTGTGTGTAATCCAGTCTGACATGAAAAATGGCTAATAACATCCCAGAAGGAAAGAGCTGTGAACAGCTCTGATGCCTGAGGAGTAGGGGAGCTCCTTGGGAACTCTTCCATTACGAGGTGGAGCATCCAAAAGAAGAAACTGAAATTCTGGGGCTCTTCAAAGCCTCTGCACTATTATGCTGTGGGATGCTCTGTGCTGGGTTCAAAAGATAGATCTTTAGATGTGACCCAGGTACAACAAAGTTGGACCTAAAAGTTAACTCCTAGTGTAAAAAAAAACCTGTCTTTATGGGTGCAGGAGGCTAGAAAGCTCAAGGGTTTCATGCTCCCTGCTTCATGGAAAAGCAGCATTCCCTACCTAGGAAACTTTAATATTCGCAGGTAGAAATTGACTGGCAAAGGCTCAACTTAAAACCCAGGATGTCACTTCCATGCTTAAAAGTTGACGTGTGGGGAGAGGTAGAACTTTTTGCATTTGGACTTTATGCTTCTCATATAGATGCTTGTAATTGCCTCCCTCCCATCTCCGACAACTTGGAAGGGAAGAAGAGCATTTAATACGGGTCCCCTGAGTGGACATCAAAATTGAGAGGTGCAAACTCTTTTCCCAAGCACAGACGCAAAAACACCAACAGATTTTGCCCTCATGAGCCACTGTGTACACCAAAAAGTTGGTTATCTACTACATTTCTTGCTTTCTAGTATCATGTGGTCAGCAACTCCTTCCCCTTGGTTAGCACCCAGTGACACCAAGGACAATGAACAGCACCTAAGCAGCTGTTTAAACTGCATGAACAGAGAAGTGTTATGCTTTTTTTCTAGCAGCACAGGAACAAGACTAGCATGGCATCTTTGGTAGATGTATTACCAAGTGCCCAAACAGCAGAGCACTTACGTGAAGTTTTAGGTTATTTCTTTGAGGTGGAATAAGTGAAATGTAACAGTTATTTTCTGCCTCATCATTACTGCTGGAACAGAACACCTGTAAAAATGTTTCTTTCTATGTTGAATGAAAAATTTCCACAGGAGGCAGCCTTTGGGAACAGAGAAAAATGTGTGGGGCTGGATTTTACTCTCAGAGGTAGACGGAGGACCTCTGTGGGCTGCGGGGCTTCTGGAAGCAGAGTTCATCAGCTGGTGTCAGCGGGAGCTGATCTCATGCTTATCTGATGGCAAAACATAGCTAGCAAACTGCTAGTGTTGCCCCAGCAGTGATAGGGGAGTGAGGCTGCAGAGCTCGCTCAGGTTAAACATGCATACTTTCAGACAAATTTGATGAAAGGGGCTTCTAAAGGAAGAAGAATAAAAGCCTGAAGCAGACAATATGATGCTAGCCCTGATCTGGTAATGTGACATGAATTCATTAAATGAGATCTGTCCGGGTATCTGTTGGCCACAGGAATGGTTGAAGTGGCCTCTGCTGCAGGTTGGAGAACTCCTCTTACCGGAGTGGGCAAATAATGGCAGTGAGGGGATAATTGCTATTCTAAGCATGCTGGCTACTGGCCAGCTGTGTATTAGCAGTTCTAGAGCTGTGAAACCATATTTCTGTAATAAAAGTGGAGAATAATACCTTCATGGAGATGACTTCAACCTTGGGACTGACCCAGGTTCACTGTAGTGATTGCTTTTGAATCAGTTAAGGCAGAGGGTAAGAAGGTGGTGCTGGTGCCAAAGTTTGGAGGTAACTGTTTGTTGTCTTTAACATCCACCCATTGTTTGGGGGCTTGACAGTGTGCCTTGCGTGATATGGTTTTAGTGTGAGGTGTCCCTGCCCATGGCAGGGGGGTTGGAACTGGATGATCTTAAGGTCCTTTCCAACCCTAACTATTCTATGATTCTATGATTTAGAGAACCCAGAAGAGTCGAACACATCCCAGCTCAGTAGCAATTTGGAGCAAAGTGCACCCTTTGAAGAGCTTGGGGTTTTATTTGTAGGTTTCTGAAAAAGAAGAGAAGACGATGATGTCTCCTGAGAAAGCCATTTTATGTGGGTCGGGTGCACAGCAGCCACAGAAGCAAGCTGAAGGCCTGCTTGTTTTTAAACTATGAACAACATTCAGAGATACCCTGTTTTTCTGATAGCTTTCAGCACTGGTTGCGGCTGAAGTTAAATGTAGAGCTACAGAGGCCTTTCTATGCATGCATAAATCTCAGATCAGATCCCACATGGAGAGGAGAACATAGCTGTAAATGCACGGGTAAAATAGCAAGTCGACCTTCCTCTCCTTAAAGACAATTGTGTTTGTTTCCCCTCCTGCCAATCCTATCCCATAAATCCCCCGCTCTCCATACTCGGAGAGTTCCATTTTGTTACCTACATTCTGTCAGTAGACTTTACAAAGATCTCTAACACATGTTATAAAAGTTATTGCCATAGTACTATATATAACAGCTTTGCATAAGAGAATAGAAGGCTGCCACATTTAGAAAATGCAGGTGCTATGTAAGCCCCTTTCTGAAAGAAAGAACTTAGCTCAGTTTCCTTTGAAGAACCAGAGACTTGAAATTGAAAACTGTATTAATGCCATTGTCTCCTTGTATCAGCAGGTTCCAGAGAGATTCCTGGAAGTGGCTCAGATCACATTACGGGAGTTTTTCAATGCCATTATCGCAGGCAAAGATGTTGATCCTTCCTGGAAGAAGGCCATATACAAGGTCATCTGTAAGCTGGACAGTGAGGTCCCCGAGATTTTCAAATCCCCAAACTGCCTACAAGAGCTTCTTCATGAGTAGAGAGTTCAGCAGCTATTTATGAATGTATGAAAGTAGCAGTCCCCTTCTGATGCCCAAGTCATGTGTGTCCCTATTTTAATTTCATATATATGTGTATTGCATACATATATATATGTATATGAAATTCGACTGTGATCCCTCATGGATTTAAGTTTTCAGTTCCGAGGGGATGGTTATTTTACTTCAGCCTTTGGTTTACTTTGCCCGAGACCCTTAACATTTGAAGAATCAACGGGGTTAATTTTCAGGGAGAAGAGTTTGGAAGAGTGTAAAAGCCTGTCTTAGCAAGTTAGGGCATTATGTTTAAAAATGCTTTGTCAGATTTATTGCTTGCTGCAAAGTGGCATTTTGTCTTAGTGAGACTAATGTCATGGCACAATACTACAGACAATGAAGTTTATATTACGTTTATACTGCTAAAGGTCTGAACTCTGTGGAGTCATTTCATAAGCTTGGAGCTTTCTTTCCTTTTTTTTTTTTTATTTTATATACTTTTTAACCAAGAACCAGATTTTGTTTCGTACTTCAAAAAAAAAACCACAACAAACCCTAAAAATACAACATCCATTTCAGGTACTCACTCCTAGAAGTGATAACCCCAAAAGCAAACCCTATTTTTCATGCTTTCCTTACAGAAATGATGGATATCCTGCACCACTAAGCAACACGCCAGGTTGTTGTTCTAAGTTGCAGCAAGGGATGTTTGCACAAATCAAATCTTGCAGGGTGAGGCCAGTAATTCATGCACAATTTTGTACCAACCCCACTAATCCTGGAATATGGTCAGCTTATTAAAGTGGAAGCATTTCACTCTCCATAGACTAAAAATGAAACCTTCAGAGTCCTATATTGCCATGTCTCTGTCTTGAAGTGGCATCAGTCCCTAAATGTATTATTTTCTTAGTCCATTCTGCCCCCCCAAATCCCCTTTCCAATATGCAAAGTTTTTGTCTGTTGTTTAACATCTGTCCTGAAAAGCACTTTTTTGGAATGATCTTAGATCTAGTAGAATAAAAGCATCTTCACCTCACAGCCCTGAGGAAAAGGGACAAAAGACTTGTTTGTAGCTGTAAAAAAGAATCAGTCTCTTCCTTATCAGAGGAATAAGAACTGCATTTTCATAAAAACTTAATCAATCATATGCAAAATTGGCAGAGTCCTCCTGTCCCTGCGGGGTTCCGATAGCCACATTGGGGGGTTAAAATTACAGTAAGTGCAGATGTAAAACATAAGAGATCTGTTTTAGCAATGGGCTGCACTTGTCTCCTGAAGCTGGAGCTAGTCTTGGCCAAAATCTGAGTGTAAAGTCCACAGTGAACCTGGGTTTGCCTGAATGCTGTATCAGCAGGCAGACAGCAAGCGAGCCGCTAGTTCTCGTGCTGTCATCAGTGGCTCTCCTTTTCTCGTGTTTTCAGAAAGATACTGGCTCCACAAGTTTGGGGGAAGGTTCAGTATGCTGTGGCACTCTGTGTTTGTCCTTTTCTCTGTCGTCTTTTGTATGGATGCAGTAAGAATTTATGTTATCATCAACAGTCTTTTCCCCTACATAATTCAATCTGAATCTTGAGGAAGTTCCTAATTAGCTGCGAATTATATTTAGACCATTGAGGATATTGGGATCTTATTTCTTTATTTTCAGATTACATTTTGATTTTGGAGAGTGAAAGTTTACCCACGTGACTAAAGAGCTGACCTGATCATTGCAATTCCACTTCATTTACAAATACTGCTGATAGACAGAAAAGTATGAAAGCAATTATTGTTAGCATAAAGCCTTACAAACCTGCTGACTTCAAATTAAACAGCACAAGCCTACGATTCCCTGTCATTCTTTTCAAGCACTGGCAGTATCTGTGGAGTATAGGCAATGCAGACAATAGCATGGGATGAAGTGCCAACATTTTCACTATGCATTAAAAGCAAAACAAATCTTCTTGATCTTAGACTCCCTGAGAGTACCTAATACTGCACTTATCCTTCATAGACAGGATGTGTCTTTTTCTTCCTTTTCTTCTGTTTTATTTTCTTTCATTTTCTTAATTTCTTTTTTTTTAATGCATGATTTGGTAAACATTACACTTCACAAAGATGTAACTCCAGTGAATTCTGAGTAAGAAAAGATGAAAATTGTGTTCATGCACTTTTTTGATTTATGGGAAGAAGTGGCATAAATGCTCAAGTTTGAACCCAGTAAGTTCATCATTGGCATCCCATCAGATACTGCATTGTCACCTTGAACATAAGAAAGCAAAGCCATACTTTAGTCATACTATGTGGACATACTACTAGCTACCATCTCAATATGTGATTTTACCATTGCTTTTATTATGTTTATTATTATTATTATTAATATTATTGTGGATGTTATTATTATTATTATTTGGCTGCAATGTGATTCACATAATCTAAATAAGTGAAATTGTGTACTCAACACTTGATGTTGTTGCATTTATTTATTTATTTATGGGTAGCATAATCTCAATAGTAAATGAGGCATAGGAATTAAGAGTAGAAATTTCATCGTAAAAGCAAAATAAAAACCTCCTTTGTCTGAAAAAGGAATAAATGAGAATTCGATCATTTCAGTTACGTGGTTTTTCTGCATTTTATAGCCATATTGCCTTTGTGCCTCCCAATACACCTAAAATTAGAAATACATGGAAGAGCTCCTACTAAATCGCAAGTAGAAACCAGTCTCTTTCAGACGACCTCAATACGAAATGGCTAAAAGGCAGGAGGCTACTTTTATAGTAATGAAAAGTTTACACAGGGAAAGAATTGCAAAACCCGTGTAGAAACCCCATGTTGCCATTCATTTACTGCTAATTCAGATTTATTTCTGCATATAAACTTGAGGTTATAGTCTGTGCCTAGACCTTTAATGCACCAGCGGAAGGAGAAAACAAAATCCTTCAAAATACCAGTTTTTCCCCCCACAAGTACAATTGTTCTTGTGCCTTCTGTGGCTTACAATTTTCATCTTTTAAACTTTATTTGTCAATTCCTACAGCTGCAATAAACACTGATTTTGGTTGGGTTTTCTTTTTCCGGCTGTTTGACATGATGTTGATAGCTATGCATATTTTGTGTCTTTTTAAGAATTAAAAAAAAAAAAAAAAAAGAAAAGAAAACAAAAAAACCCACCCCACAAATAATAGAGAAAAAAAACACAAAAAAAAAAAGAAAAAAAAGAGAAAAAAATAACACAAAAACAAAGCAGGAGAATACGTTTTTGAAGCAGAGAATTTTTAGAACAGTTTGATAACGCAAATTATTTTTTCTCAATCGTTTGAGCAGCATTCGAGTTTTGGAAATTCTTGTAGAAGCCAATTTTTTGTAACTGTGGTGCAAATCTTGTGTTTTCTTAGCCTGAGGAGAAGTAGTATAGAAGCAATATTTCATACGTGACATGTGTGCATATACATATACATATGTGGTCACGCACACGGGCGGAACGTGCGGGTGCATGTATGTATGTATGTATGTATACACAGCAACACACACACAAAATATGCGTATGAAGTGAAAAGCTTACCTTTTTCCTATCTAGATTAAGAATTAAACCTATTTTAGACATTTGTTATGTTTTGTGAAAAGAATGTTCTATTTGCAACTAGAAAACATTGAATTCTTACTGTATCTCTGGTTGTTTAATGGGAACGTTTCACATTTAATGGTAAACACGTGGAAGATGTTAGAATGTAGTAATTATTTAAGGAAGTGTTCACCCATGTATTCCTGAGGTTTGCTTTGTGCCTCTGAGTATTATTTAATTCAAGTGTTTTTAAGTTTGCAGAATCTTTGTTACTGTACCAGGTATGTGGGTGAACATTGCAAATCGAGGGGAACTTTTATAAAGCAATGTAAATATTCAACCTTAACGGCTGTTCTTGCATAAAGACATAAGATTTTAATAACTACATTCTGAAAACATCTGTTGAATTTATAAGAAACACTACAGTAACTGTGTAGATAGTTGAAAGCATTCTTGAAAATCCAGCTCTCTACTTGAAAGAGTTAAGTCTCTTTCATCAGATGTCAAGGGAATGGGTAATACAGTTTCTGTAAAATTGCAGATTTCTTTTTCTATGTATATGAAGTCAGTTAATAGAAAAAAAATGTTGTTTTTTTTTTTTCCACAGGTTAATATTAATTAAGAAATAAAGGTGAAGATTTTGTGGCTTTAAAGATAGGATTTTCACCAGCAGCATTGAAAGATTATACATATATATATATATATACACACACAGAAAGATATATATATATATTAAAAATGGAAAGTGGTTTACAAAACCCCCAAAATGAGCACTGTACATGAGAAGTGAAAGCAAAAACTATATTTGCCATGTGTATTATATAGCAGTCATTGGTGTTAATAGTGCAAATGTTTCCTTCTGGTACCAACTATGTGTTTGAAAATTCCAATACGCATTGTTTTCAAAAAGCTCCCCTTAAGGAATGTAACTGGTTTATATGAGTAAGCAGTTACTGTATTGCACTTAAATGTTCTGTTGAAGGAAATGCAATTTTGTTTTCTGTAGAACTGTTGGTTGTAAACCATCTATAAACGGAAGCTAAAAAATGCTCATATTTTGAGCTGGGATGAAAACTGGTATTTAACCTTTGTATCTTCTTAGGAATATCCTTTTTAGTGTATGAAAGGTGGTGGCACTCTGACTTCATGGAGTCTTTTCATCTGAGCCAGTCACCTCTCTCCCGAAGCAGCCACCTTCCAAATGCACAAATATCCTGGGATATGTAGAAACAAATCTAGAAGAAACAGCGAGCTTACATTTTTTCTCTTAAATGCATCCTTTCTGCATTAATTGTACCACTCGAGTGAGATATTAGACAACCACAAGAACCATCTCATGACCACAGAACATCTAAGAGTCAGAAGTTAAACACGAAGGCAAAAACAAAAAAGCCTCTTTAGGTTGCTTTTAATGCTGCCCAGAAGAGTCAAAGGTTAAGGTTTAAACTGATATTGTCCCAGCCATTACTCATATGTATATAGTTACAAAAGTGACAAAACACTGCCTTTATATTATTTAGCAATATGTTGTAAATAGCATTATTAAGCTCTTTTTTTGTAATAAAGACCCTTTAATTTGAAGATAGTTCAATAACTGAGAAAGTCAATTTTGGATTTATTTTTCTTTTTTCTTTTTAATTTTATTTTTTAGCTAGAGGCAATTTCAACTGTGGATTTTTTTTTTCTTTTTTTGTTGTTGTCTGTTGTTCTGAAGACTTTGCATAATTTATTGGTTTAATTTATCCTAATTTATTTGATGGTGTACAATTTTGTATTACCAAGGATGTACTGTAATATTAATTGATGACAAGATAAAACAATAAGACTCCCCTGTCTGTTTGGGAAACAAAAGGTGCAGTAGACAATTGATTGATAAAAAGTTACAATTCTAGCTTGGCAGCTACTAAATTTAAGAGAAACACAGGAAAAATGTTTGGGGGGGGATGGATTTTATTTTGTGTGTTTAAAGCTTTTGTATACTCTCCAGACTTTTACCTTTTTGCTTTGTACCACTTAAAGGATACAGTAGTTCAATTGCCTTGTGTGCCTTCCATCTTCTCTAAACTGAATGTATGTGCAGTATATATGCAAGCTTGTGCAAAATAAAATATAAATTACAAGCTCATTGCCATTGTCTAGATTTATTTCCAGAAGATTCTGGTGCCCCGTCTCAAGAGGGGGACTGCTCATCCTCATCCTCTGCTGCGGCCAGGCTGTGCCTAATGCTTGGAGCCCTCTGAAGGTTTCCTTTTCCCCTTTGTTGGAATTATTTATTAATGAAATTGCCAGCCCTCTTGCAAAATGGATATAATGATTTATCTAAGCCGGTGTTCTACCTCCAGAGCTGGTTAAGATAATGAATGTTATTTTGCAATAGTCTATCAGACAAGGAATAACTCCCTGCAAGAGACATGTTAATGTCTGAGGCCCTTTAAATTAAACGTAGCCAACTTGAGCTAGAAAGTACTTGTATTTATGATGTTTAATCAGGCCCTGGATATACCTGCCATGTTGGTGTCCTGCAGCGGGGAGTTCTGCAAGTCAGTGGATGTAGAATAATGCTTGTTTTGATGTGGCTCATGTTTGTTCCTGTTGAAGGCAGTGTCCAGATACCATTCCCTATTAGTTTTATTACAATCATCCTTGGATCACTTCCTTTGCAAGCTATATAATCACTAGCATTCTATATAGACTAATCTGTTCTTATACAGTTCCTCAAAATGCAAGTCTCACTGTTTTTCTCTAGGCCTCTGCTATTTCTGCTTTTTCATATGCATCTTAACATTTTGAGGTTGAGTGAACCTTTGATTTACATTGTCTGCGTTGCAGACATGAACGGTCTCTTTTTGGCTTAGAATTGGTGCAGATGGCAGTAAGATGGGAGCTGATTTGGATCACAAAATCAGGCAAGAATTTTCTGATTTTGAAGAAGAAACATGTTAAAATTATATTTTAACCTGAGGTCATTTGTTTTCAGGACCTTTCTCAATTCAGACTCAAGACACGGTAGAGATGAGCTGGATTCAGCTACCCTGTAACAACCAAATAAATACTTCATATCTGCAACAGCAATTAAAACTCCATGTCTTTTTATGCAACTGGGGTTGCATTTGTTGGGCCACATCAACACCAAGGTGTAAAGGAGGTCTATGGAAGGTCACGGAGTTGAATCTGCGTAACTAATGGTCATTTAGTTGTAAGATCTCTGGTTTTACTGCAAACAAATTGCCTCTCCTAGTTCACATCTATCCACATCACCACACCAACATACTAGAAGCATTTTCTGGTCAAAATACCTGACATTCAGACAATTTCTTAAGGAACTGTCTGCCCCACAGCACTTACTAATTGTCTGTGTATTCAGGAGGTTGTGATGACCATGGCATGGTGAGCAGGGCAGACTGCAGTGTCTGGAATGAGGAGTGTGTCAAGGTCCCTGGCTCATCCACTCCAGAAAGCCTCCAGCCTTGAGGAGGTCCTCTGCCAACCCTGTTTCAGAGCAAGCACACGCATCCCAGGAGGAAACTGCTGGGAAACTGTGAGAACGCTTTCCTTGTCAGAGGGAAGCCAAAGAGAGAGTAAGGAGACTAAACCCAGGCAGCTGGTTAAGCACAGCCTAGCAAAGGCTTACAAAAGCAGCTACAAATCACACGGAAGGGCTTGGGTTTGTGTTAGCTATCAAGACTTAACTAGATAGAGGAGGAGGAGATCATCCTCAGGTGTCCAGTTAATGGACCAAAGGATGCAGGCTGCATGGGTGGTTGCTGTCTGGCTCTGTCCCCTGATCAGTTCTTCTCTCAGATACACTAGTTCTATGAAATACAAGACACTATTTGCCATTGTACCCTGCAGTGGAAAGCACACAGATCTCTAAATAAGAAATCCTAGCTATTGGCATCTCAGAATACTGCAGGAGTTCAGAGCTAGACTGGAACTTGGCAAGTAGTCCCTGTCATTGCAGAGGGCCAAATCAACTTTCCCAGGCTTCAAGCACCCTGAAATGATCCAAATTCTGCCGATCTGGCCATCTGTGCTTGGAAATCCTCAGTTCCCCTAATACCTGGAATTTTTACAACAAGGAAGATACTACGTTCTAGCTTAAAAATCATAAGGAAGACATGAATAGTCCCTGACCAAGGCAAATAGAGCAATTTTATGTCACTAAGACCATCACTAGGAATTGGGGTTTTTATACACATCGCATAACTGAGAAGCCAAATGTAGAAGACTGCATTTTGTGATGTGAGAGCCTGAAAGGGTTAATCACTCTCATTTTCTTAGTCTGTACCCTTATTTATGCCCAGCCTAGGTTGTGCCAACACAATTTCTATGGAGATGATCCCTTCTGATCCAGTCTTCCCTCTTTGTTAGGAGGGAAAGGGGACTGACGGGTGAGTTGCACTGTACCACTGACGGTGTTTAGGAAATAACAGCAAAGAAGTTCATTACTCTCTGCAGTGGGTTACAGTGATTTCCCAGACAGACTAATCTGATTTAAAATTGGTTAAAACCACAATAACGCAAAATAAATGAAATCTTTGCTCAAGCTACAATGCTAATTCTTGCACACAGCTTATGAGTATCACTAACCTACCTGTGCCT